AAACTTAAAAAAAGGTACTGTTACACAATTTTAAAACTATTTTGCAAAGTTGAAAGGGAGGGAATTCTTCCAAACTCATTCAAAACCAGCATCACCCTTATACCAAAAACCAGACAAGGACAAAACAACCAAAAGAGAAAATTACAAACCAATATCCCCAATAAATACAGATGCAAAAGTTCAAAAAAATTCTAGCAAATTGAAACCAACAGCACATTAAAAAGATTATATACTATGATCAAGTGGGATTTATTCCAGGGATGCAAGGTTGGTTCAACATATGCAAATCAATAAATGTGATTCATTACATCAATAAAATGAAGGATAAAAACTATATGATCATGCTAATAGATACAGAAAAAGCATTTGACAAAACTCAACATCTATTCATGGTGAAAACTTTTAACAAATCAGATATAGAAGGAACATATCTCAATACAATTAAGGCCATATATGACAAACCTCTGAATAAGGAAAATTTTTTTCCTTTAAGATCTGGAACAAGACAAGGATGTCCACTCTTACAATTCTTATTTAATACAGTAATAGAAATTCTAGTAACAGCAATTAGTCAAGAGAAGAAATACAAGAGAAGAAAAAAATGAAAAGCAATAAATCAAACTACTCTTGCAGGATTTCAAATACAGAAATATCTAAAGACTCTAGCAAAAAACTGTTAGAAATGACAAGTTCATTCACTATAGTTGCAGGATTGAAGATTAACATATAAAAACAAAATAGTGTTTCTACATACCAATAATGAGCTAGCTTAAGAAGAAACCAAGAAAGCAATTTAATTTACAATAGCTACCCCAAAACAAAAAACTTGTAAACAACCCTAGGAATAAACTGAATTAAGGAAATGAAAGAACCCCCTCAACACACACACACACACACACACATACACACAAAAAACAACAACAACAACAACAACAAACCTATCAAGCGCCAATAAAAGAAATGGAAGAGGGAACATACAAAAACTGGAAAGAGGGCTGGGTTGTGGCTCAATGGTAGAGTGCTTGCGTCGAATGCGTGGAGCACTGGGTTAGATCCTCAGCACCACATGAATAAATAAAAGTAAGGTGTTCATCTACAACTAAAATTTTTTTAAAACTGGAAAGACACCACACATATGTGGAATGAAAGAATTAATATTATTAAAATATACATACCACCCAAAGCAATCTACAGACTCAATGCTATCCCTACCAAAACACCAATGATATTTTTCAAAGAAATAAAAACAAAACTCCTAAAATTAATATGGAGCCACAGAAGACCCCAAATCACCAAAGCAACCCTGAGTAAAAAGAACAAAGCTGGAGTCATCAACAAATATTTGATTTCAAAGCAGACTACAGGCCAGATATGATGAATTATTAATATCCCAGAAAATTGAGAGGTTGGAAAAGGAGAATGGCAATTTCTAGGTTCTCACAATTTAGTGAGACCCTATCTCAAAAAAATAAAAAGGATTGAGGATGTAGCTCTCTGGTACAGAGCCACTGGGTTCAATCCCCAGTACTGCAAAAGCAAATAAACCAAAAAAAAAAAAAACTTACAGATCTATAGTAACCAAAACAGTATAATACAAGCATAAAAAACCAGCACAGAGACAAATGAATAGAGAAACCAGAAACAATGACAAATTTATAGTCAATTGAATTTTTACAAAGACAAGAAGAACACCCACTGGAAAAGGGCAATCTCTTTAATAACTGATGCTGGAAAAACTCAATATCCACATGAAGAAGAAAGAACTAGAGACCTATCACTCACCATGTATACAAAAATCAACACAACCAAGAAAAGACTTAACCTGAACTATTTAAAATACCAGGAGAAAAACATAGGCGAATCAATTTAGGGTGTAAGTCTAGACAAAAAATTGGGGATATGGCCCCATAAGAACAGGCAATAACAGCAAAAATAGACAAAGAGGATTATACTAAACAAAAAAGCTTCTATGTATCCAAGAAAAAAAACAGACTTGATTGATGATCTATAAAATGAGAATAAAATATTGGTAAACTATTTATTCAATAAAAGATTAATACATATAATATATAAGGGACTCAAACCACTCAACATCAAGAAAAAACAATTATAATGGGCAAATTATTTGAACAGGCATTTCTCAAAGGAAGATATAAAATTAACAAGTATATGGAAAAAATTCTTAACTTCATTAATCATCAGGGAAATACAATTCAAAACTACAATGAGATATCATTTTCACCCCAGTTACACTGACTATTCTAAAAAAAAATCAAATATAGGCAAGGATGTAGTTTAAGGAATTCTCATATACTACTGATGGGAATGCTAATTAGCAATAGCCATTATGGAAACAGTATAGCTTCCTCAAGAAACCAGAAATAGACTACCACATCATCCAACAATTCTATGATTGGATTAGAGACAAAGAAAATGAAATCACCATAATGAAAAGGTATCTGCACTCCTGTGTCTAATGAAGCATTATTTGCAATATCCAAGATATGGAAACAAGTTAGGGATTCATCAACAGATTAATGGATAATTAACACACAAAAAAAATATTATTATTTAGCCATATGAAAAATGAAATCCTCAATGAATGAGGAGAAGAGAGAGCCTACGGTATGGGAGCAAATTTTTACCACACACACACATCAGATAGAGCACTAATCTCTAGGATATATAAAGAACTCAAAAGACTTAATACAAAAAACAACAACAACAAAAAAAAAAACCACTCACTAAATGGGCTAACTGAACAGACACTTCTCAGAAGATATACAAATCATCAATAAATATATGAAAAAGTGTTCAACATCTTTAGTAATTAGAGAAATGTAAATGAAAACTACTCTAAGACTTCAACTCATCCCAGTCAGAATGGCAGTTATCAAGAATACAAGCAGTAATAAGTGTTGGAGAGGATGTGGGGAAAAAGGTATACTCACACATTGCTGGTGGGACTGCAAATTGGTGCAACACTTTGAAAAGCAGTGTGGAGATTCCTCAGAAAACTTGGAATGGAACCAACATTTGACCCAGCTACCCCACTCCTAGGTCTATACCCAAAGGATTTAAAATCAGCATACTACAGTGACATAGCCACACCAATGTTTACAGCAGTTGAATTCACAATAGCTAAACTGTGGAACCAACCTACATGCCCATCAACAGATGAATGGATGAAGAAACTGTGGTATATATAAACAAAGGAATATTACTCAGCATTAAAAGAGAATAAAATTATGGCATTTGCAGGTAAATGAATGGAGTGGGAGAATATTATGCTAAGCAAAGTAAACCAATCCCAAAAAACTAAAGGCCGAATGTTTTCTCTGATAAGTGGATGCTGATCTATGATGGGGGTGGGGGGAGGGAATGGGAAGAATGGAGGAACTTTGGATTGGGCAAATGGGAAGGTAAGAGAGGAGTTATGGGAGTAGGAAAGATGGGGGAATGAGATGGTCATCAATACCCTAGGCACATGTATGACTGCATGAATGGTGCGTCTCTACACCATGTACAACCAGAGAATTGAAATGTTGTGTTGTGCTCCATTAGTGTACGATGAATTGAAATGCATTCTGCTGTCATGTACAACTAAGTAAAACAAATAATAATAATAATAATAATAATAATAATAATAGAAATCCTGTCACTTTGTAGCAACATGGATAACTAGAGAAAATTATGTTCAGTAAAGTCAGGCCCAGAAATATGTGTAGAAACTAAAACTGATGCTCCTCAGGAGCAAAATATAGAGTTATCAGAGGTTGAGAAGTACGTGGGGGAAAGATGGAGAGAGAATGGTTAATGGGTAGAGGGGTACAGCTGGATAGGAGGAATAACTTCTATGGCACAGTAGGTAACTATGGTTAATAGCAAGTACGTAAATATTTTAAAATTTTGAATGTACCCAACATAAAAAAAAAGATTACATCTGAGGTAATGAATATATGCTAGTTACTTTGATCTGATCATTACACATTGTATACAAGTAGTGAAATATCACTATCACCCATAAAAATCATAAGCCAGGTGTGGTGGCGCACACCCATAATCCCAACGGCTTTGGTTGCTGAGGACGAAGGATCGCAAGTTCAAAGCCAGCCTCAGCAACAGTGAGGGCTAAGCAACTCAGTAAGACACTGTGACTAAATAAAATACAAAATGTGGCTCAGTGGTTGAGTGCCCCCGAGTTCAATCCCCAGTATGCCCCCCCAAACTAAATAAATAAATAAATAAAGCAAGCAAGCACATTTTTAGCAAATATGTGGATATGTATTTTTTCAAGAATATTGGTTTTATTTAGAATATTGAAATACAAAAATTTACATACCTACAACCATTGTGAAAATGTTAGAACCACTAAAATGTGAAAATACTAAGGCACTGTTTCTTGAAATAATGTATTTAATATTCAGAAGTTCGTAAAGAAATATTTTCAATAAAATTGATTCAATCTTCTTATATTTTGCCCTGAAAGACAACCTTAAACAAGTAGTAAGATACCCTAATGAAAATTGTATGATATACCCAGGTTCAGGAATATCACTAGGTAAAAGGGTTTATATACCTGGTTAGTTTTTCAACATATTTTGTTTCATCACAGCAATACATCAACCACAACAAGGCATAAATCAGGCATAAAGTCATTCAGTTACATAATTTGACACAAAAGGTAGGAATATTACCAATGGGATAATGGAAAAAAACCTTCAAAGTTCTATAAAACTATTGAGAAGTTAGAGTTTGAGCTATGTAATACATTCTGAAACATTCCCTCACTTTTGTGTATTTGTTTGTTTAGTATATATGAAAAAAGTTCATCCTGGAATATAAATGTAATCAGCCATAGTATGAAGGAGTTCTGTATTTTTGATGGCACTGAGTCTTTGCTCTTTGGCATAATATGTGACAAAATAACTTGGCAGCAGGAGACGATATCTACATTCATTGCAAAACAGAAACTTGAGATTTCTACAGTGAATATCTAAGTAATATCATCTACTCTGGCTTATGTATCAACCTTATACTTGAAATATTTTTCCATAAATGTCAGTAACAGTGGACATGTGCCAAACACATATAGTGATAAAAGCAAATAAAAACAACAAGAAAATCAAAGCATACTTATAACTTTTTACTTTTGCTTGTGATGACCTTCTGTGCTCTGGAACTCCTGTGTTACATAAAATTGGAACTGGAAAGAGAAAAAAAATTTTTGATTGGTACAACACAAAACAATACAGGAAGTAAAAATTACCAGAGTCATTAGTTTTACAAAGATTTTACAAAGAAAATATATTACAGGATATTTAGCTACAGCGTTTTGAAAAAGAAAACAAAAAACAACCACCAAACCATAATTTCTTGAGGATAAATTCTAAGCTCTATGAATTCAGTTCTGATTTTGCAAACTGCATGGTTTTCAAGTGCAGTAGGGTGACAATTTTTACTATGTAAATGTAAGCGGTCTTTAATTTGAAAGGAAAATTAATTTTAGTAATATCTGAGATACAAGGATACAGCAAAATATTATTTAGCTTTATAATTTTTAAAAAGTATGTTGGAAAGCAGTACTATTATAATATTATAATATCAGTCTATCTTTTGAAATCCAATGCTTGAATCAAATATCACTATTATACTATCACATTCATTATTTCAACAAAAAATTGCAAGAAACACAGGCATTGAGAAAATTTAAGTCTTGTTCTGGGTCTATCATAGGAAGACATGACTTTGCTAGGGCACAGATGGCTGGAGTAAACTGAGACAAAGACCACAAAGGAGCATTCTGAACAGAACAAATCATGAATTTCACTATATTCAAATAGGTAAACCGATAAGGGCATTTTAAGTGGAAGAAATAAAATGAAGGACACAAAGTACAGAAGGAGATCAAAAAAGGGGGGAAAAAAAACTTATTTTCTAAAACTTTGGTAACTTTGATTTTAACACATACCAAAACCTACAAGCTTGAGATTATCATCCAATTGCTACTCATGGCCGCCCCCTTGTACTGTGGCCCTCTCTACCTTCCTCTGCATCTTTACGTCCATCATTGGTTTCACATGTTCTGACATCAAAGCACAGGAGTTCGAATCGATAGCCTGGGTCCCTTATTAAAATAAAAATTCTCACAAAATCAATAATCAAAAGGATTGGTTAAAAGAAAAGTGAGCCTAAGAATTAGGGTTTTTTCCCCCAACAAAGTACAGAATTTCAATTTAGACACAAAATAACTCATGGTAGGTCAACAGTCATTACCTGTATACTAAGGGCACAGCTGGGCTGTGAAATAGCTAATTTTTTCCCAGCTAACTGACCCTTTTCTACTATGATGTATATTTTTATCTTGTTCATTCAGTTGCCAAATATTTACAAATCCCCTAGTATGTGCCAGGTACTGTTCTAGCTTTGGGAAAAGAGAAGTAAATGAGAAGGATAAGGTCTGTGCTTGGGCTCTTAAGGAGCAGCAGTTTGAGTTTCAGGAGGCAGGCAGAGAGTAAGTAAATAGGAACTAGAATTAGGAAGATCAAGTAGAACCAGGAGGATTGTGGGTGTGGCCCAGTATTAGAATGCTTACCTAGCACTGCATAAGGCCCTGGAGGTTTGATCCCCAGTATGGAATTTCGGGGGTGGGCGGGGCAGGGAGCAGAGCCAGGAGACAGTAGAGGAGGGAAGGGCTACAGATGCAGAGTGGTGGGGGCTCTTACTTCTTACGGTCCTTGTCCTTCTTTATGTTACTACCCGATGCCATATAGGATTGGTTCAGGAATATGTCACAGCTAGATTTCCTTTTAGAAAAAAGGATCCTTTCTTCTTCCAAAGCTCTTCTCCTTTCTTCAAGTTTTAGTCTTTCTTCTTGGTGAATTCTTTTAAGGTGCTCAAATTTGGCATGCAGCTGTGAAATAAAAATGTAATTTCCATTACTGACACAGTGTGGCAGCACATGCACAACAATGCTCTCTGGCTTAGCAACTAGATAACCCCAACTTCTACTTATGGTCATCATTTTCCTAATGCTAAGTTCATGCTTCAAGTAAAAGTTTACATATGGAATTGCCTTGATAATTTTAATAATGATTTCCCATGCAAAAAAAAAGCTTGAACCATATGAAATAAAACCATAGCCTCATTAACAAAACTGACCTTTTTCTGGGTTTTTTATTTTATTGCTTTACAAGAGTCTCTTCAAAGCCTCTTTAATAAAGTTTCTCAAGACCATGCTCAAAAAAAATAAGGGCCATGAAAGAGCAGAAGGAAATTATCATAAAGAAAATAGCCTCTTATTTTCCTAATAAAGCTAATGTGAAGTTATACTGGCAAACCCTACTAGAAAGCAAATGTTAGCTGTCAGTTTGTCAAGAACCTTACAAATATACTGCATATTTACAGTCATTCAGTAACTCCTTGAAATACAAACAAAGAAATCCTGAATTCGAAAAAGCTTGAAAAATATTTTAGTAGAATTTACACTATAATGGGAAAAAAATAGATTACATATCCAACAGAGACAGTAAAAAATAAATAAATTTAGGCTAAATACATTCAATGCAGCTGTGGGAGACCTGAATTTGCCACTCTAAAATATGAAGGCCTACTTAGCTGAAGACAATTAAGAAACAGATGTACAAGAGATCTCTGTTCTCCTTATAATGCCTAAAAGCAGGGCAGAGATTTACAAAGAGTACCCTGCATCTCCCTCACAAGGAGAACAAAGGTTTTACCAGCAGCCTAGAGAAAGCCTCAGAAGACCTTTTATTCACAAGCCTTACTAACTAGCGTTTATCTGCCTTTTCTTTTCTCTTGTTAATTCTTTAAAAATTCACTGTTCTTTGTTGAAGATTCTATAGTATCTTAAATTCAAAAGCACCTCTCTGAGAATTACTCATTGACTGGATATCTCTCATGTATATGTGAAGTATAGATGTTAGTAAAGCTCCAATTTTTCTCGTGTTAATCTGAAAACAAGAAGTCTGTTCCAACTAAGAATCTAAGGGGGTTCTTCTTTCCCTATTCATAAAAAAGCAGAAATGTAGAAAGAAAAATAAAGACCATTAGCCAGTAAACTTTTATTTCCTTGGGGCTGAAAATCACTTTGATAAATCATATGAAGGGAACATTGTCAACTTAAAGGCAGGCCTGTGTTTAACTTTATTCTGCTCCCCAATTTAAGGAATTCCTTATGCGAACAACAGAAGGCATATTTCTCGAATGGCATAAAACTCTGAGAAACAAATAGCATTTTTATTAAAAAGGAAGCTTTTAAAAAATTGAGGGGCGGTACTTAACATTTTTAAAGTATGATGTCTGGCAGAATAAGCACTCAAGAAATACTAGTCATAAACAAAACAAACAAGGAATCGCAGCTCTCTCCACCCTTCTATTACAGCCATCAAAGAAACCTTTAGCACTCCATGTTATAATTAATTGTATAAGCAACTTCTTCCTGAGGATTGCTTAGGAGCTCTGCTTTTTTCATCTTTCTACTCCTAGCACCCAGCAAAACATAATGGAAGAACTAGTAATGAAAGGACATACAGATAAAATGTATGGGAAGTGCTGCAAGTAAGCTTAATGGAGTACACAAGGAATGAAGGTGTGAAATGGGGGTCAACTTCATGCTTTGAGTATGAACCCAGCTGCTTGGCCTCTGGTAGCTTATTTTAAAACTAACATGTACTGCCCCCAACCCTTCCTCCTCTCCTTCTTCCCTCCCCCAAAACCTCAAGGATTCAAATTAATGTTTTTTTTTTTTCCCATTTCAGGCCATCCACTTCAGCTCACTGATCAAAAGAAGAAAGGTATCTGTGCCAAGTCTGAGCAGTCGGCTATCTAAAGGCCACTGCTATGATTTGGATAACAGCTGTCCCCAAAAGCTCCAGTGTTAATGCAGGAATATTTGCAGGTCAAGTGAATGGACTGTGAGAGCTATAACATAAGCAGTCCATCCTAGTTTGAATGCACTGACTGAATGGTAACCAGGCTGGCAAGGCATGGCTGGATTAGGTGGGTCACTGGGTGTGTACCCCACAAGGGTGGTTTTTACCTGAGGCCCCTTCCTTGCTTCCTATTCTGCTTCCTAACCCCTCCATGAGCTAAGCAGCTTTCCTCTGCTGGGCCCTTCCACCATGATGTGTGCTTCAACTTGGGTTCAGAATGAGGAGTGAGCCAGCTATGGACTGAGACTTCTGAAATGGTGAGCCCCAAATAAATCTTTCCCCCTTTACATTGTTCTTTTTGGGTATTTGGCCACAACAACGCAAAGCTGACTAAAATAGCCACCATCTGAATAGGAATCATATCTTCTGATAGGCACATCCTGAGCTTGGTCCCCTGAGCCTGGTCCCCGAATTTCCCTTTAAAACTCCTTTGTTTCCCCCTTGTAATGGGAACAATAGTTCTTGAGATACTAGTCTACTACTCTTCTCATTTTCAAGCAAATCAATAAATGTCTTTTCCATCTTTTTCAAAACCTTGTCTTCATTATTTGGATCAGCACTGGGTATAAGGACAAAGATTTTTTTAACACGTAAAGCTAGTTTAATTGTAGTTTACCTTAAAAATAACAATCTGGGGACTTGAGCAGACTCCACATGAATCAACTATGTGCATGCCTACCAACATCAAAGTGCAGAATTTAAAATCTAAAAGATAAACTTGTTTTTTGTCCTATAGTCTGATTAGATACTGAGATTAATATTGTCAGTTCTGTGTAGCACTTGAGGATTCATGCAAATTAATAAAAAGCAACTTCCTGATAAGCCCTTTTCTGCATCCTGAAGTTCTTTTCTGCATCCTGAACTTCCTCAAGCTGAGATTGAAAACTGAAAAATACCCCCTGGCCCTTTCTGTACCAAGGAAAACAAAGTTTTTAACTGACACATTCACTGTCTTACATAGCCAAGTTAAATTTACACATATTTCTATAAATTATAACCATTATCTTAGGACCTGGGAAAAAACAATCTATCTGCTTTTCCCCAGTTTGATCAAACTGCATAAAATTTATTTTATCTTTTTACATCATTTGCTTATTTCTGATACAGGCAGGCAGATGAATCCCATCAGTCAGGATCCAGGTAGGTACCTGGTTTGGGCAACAGTTGGACTTGGTATTTGGAAAAGATGGTATATAATCATAGTTGGGTTTCAAGATGGAGAAATAGAAGAGGTCACTTTCCTGGCTGCTTCATGATGTGAAACCAAGAAAGCAAATAGGCAGCTTCTCAGCAGGTGGGTGGGAAAAATAAGTGACTTTTCTGGAAATTAATGCTGGTCATTCAAAGCATATGAAGAACTCAGGAAGCTGAATATTATAAAATAAAGAAGAAATCCCAAGCACCACCGTCATGGCAAGCTAAAACACCCCCACCACCACCAAGCTTGAGCAAAGTGGATGGATAAAGGAATTAAAGAATCAACATTTTTAGGAGGCCTGTGGTTAAGACAATGATGAACTAACCTGAAAGGCATGCTGCACAAGATCACTGTGCAGGAAAGAAGGTGCATCTCTCCCAGCTGTCCATGGAAGACAGAGGAAGGAGCCATTTTGCAGCCAAGCTGCTAGCCCCCAACAGCTGGGTGAGCAGAACCTGGTGAACCCAAGCTGGGCCCAAAATATAGGCCTGGCAAACACACACTGCATGACATAGAGTGTGCCTAAGTGACTAGGAGAAAATCAAACACAGAAAGGGGTTTATACAGGGGAATAGAGGTCATGGATACCCACCTGGCCAAAAGCCCTCCCCCTCCAATCTAGCTGCTTGCAATACAAGCAGGGAGAGGAGACCAGCCAGAAATTCGAAAGGGTCAGGCACCTACCTGAATGAACATGAAACGCGGGGGTCCAGGGGTAATGGAGGGGACAGAGGATTGGCTCTTCTACTGCACATCTGGTCTAGGGGAGATTCCTGGAGTATAGTCTCCTAGCGTGGATAGGCAACTACTGGGCCCTGGAGGTGTGCCAATTTAAAATCTTCAAATCAATTGCTATTCAACAAAGAACCTAGAACCTATCTAGGCCTAAACTTCACATCCAGAAGCTCCACCTATAGGATCTACTTTCATACACTAACAACCACACTCTGAGGGTGGGGCAGACGTCACACTTTATCCCACTACACCTAACACTGAGGAGAAGGGAAGCTGAGAATTTTTTGAACTCCAAAGGAAACAATTCTTTAACTTTTCATGGGGAAATTTTTCTTCTTTTTTTTTTCATTAATTGTGATGTAAATGCATACATAGTTGTCAATTTTTTCTAACTTCAAGCATTTTTTGAAGGCAGTTATTTTTTATGACTAAGTACTGAGGACTGGGATATTTGATTAGTACATTTCAGTTTTGTTTTGTATTCTTTTATTTTTTAAATTTTTTGTTTTACAATTTCTTCTCTCACTTATCTGTTTCCTTTGATTCTTTCTCTCCTCTGCTAACAAACTCTATTTTTCTTTCACTCTTCCTTTAGTTTTTAACTTATATTTCTCTCCTCTCCCTCATAATCATCACATCTTAGATCTCTTCTGTGCTCTCCCTATTCAGCATTTGAAATTGTAAACCTTTTTACTATTATAACTGATTAGATCATTTCTGTTTATTGTAACAATTAGCATTGTAGATGTCACAGAAAGGTTGTTGTTATTTATTTACCTATCCCTAAATTTTGAGTTACTGGAAATCTTCAGGGACACTATAAGCCAAAAAGTAGAATTCTACCCATACTGTTACATGGGTAGACACACAAACAATATGAAAAAGCAAGGAAACACAAACAATATGAAAAAGCAAGGAAACAAACTGCCCCAACAAACCAGAATACTTCAATAACAGAATCCATCAACACCACAGTGGAAGAAATGTCAGTTTAGAAAGTTCATGGTATAGGATGAGGTAAAGAGT